CTCTCAAAAATAAACAAACGTTGAACATTTTTTAAAATAAGATAAAATAAAAACAAAGTCCTTATAAAGTATACTTGTGTAAAGTTTAGGTTGCCTGTCCTTATAACCCTCGCATGGGACAGAAATGACTGGTCATGGTCAGATTCTGTCCTAGTCCCATCACCACACTTAAGTTGGGGTATGTCCTTGATAGCAAAATTAAAACATCAAATGACAATTGCATGTTCCATATGTAAAGTTTATCTTTCGCTAAAGGTTCCCAGAGATTTTGACTTCTTTTAGGGAAAGAGATGCCAGTCACAATTTGCTGACACTGCTTTACACAAGGAAAGGAAAAAAACCTAATTGTATCCTTCAGGGGCGTCAACAGCTTGAGTGGGTAGGTCAGTAGAACGTGTTTTCTGCAAGTATTATTAGCGTTTTCTGCATGATGTCTTAGTTCACAGCATCATCACGGACTTAGGGATTTATGCCTTTTTTGGATTTAGCTGATTTCATCTACTTTGTTGTAGATCCGATCATGCCTGAGGCTCAAATTCTCATAACGGGGCCGTCGGAGGGCCCGTCAGGGTTCTTCTTTTTCCTTCTTAGCATCAGCACGAACATCTTGGAAAGCATCTGTGCTTCTCGGTAATATCATGTCTCGCTGATTTTGTTTCTGTCCCTACTCCAAGACTTGGAGTCAGTCACTGCCTTGGCAGCATCGGTTCCTTTCAGTGACAAGTAGCACTAGAAAGCAGCATCTGGGTGTAAAGACACGCACTGTTTGTAGGCAGGATGATACCGGAGCTTGTTTGGGCCCATTTAGGGTCAGGGTGAGGAAAAGTCATTGTCAATATTTTTCAGGTCACAAGTTCATGTTGGTGTTTTTCAGCGAGCGTAAACTGAAGTCCTGCCTTATTTCTGAAAACTTTTTAGCTCATCTTCTTTTTCAGGCTGCTCACTGTTCTTTTCTCTGTCAACCATTATCTACATTGCTCTGTTGAACCATGAGTTTAAAAAGCTCTTGATTTGTTTGTAATGGTTATTTATTTTTGAGAGGCAGAGCACTAGCAGGGGAAGGGCAGAGAGAGAGGGAGACACAGAACCCGAAGCAGGCTCCAGGCTCCGAGCTGTCAGCACAGAGCCCGACGTGGAGCTTGAACTCACGGACCGCGAGATCATGACCTGAGCCGAAACAGGACACCTGGGTGCTCCTAAAAGGTTATTTAAACCACAGTGTTATGTAAAGCTTTAGAAACCTCTCTTACAACAGTTCCATCTTTTAACAGTTTGGATTAAAGTAATATCCCATAATAAACTCATAATTCTTCATTTCAACTGGGCTTTACAAAGAATACATGTGTTTCAAAATGAGACAATTCTGTTAGGTAAATCAGGGTTGTATAGTGACCCTATGGGCCTTCTTTCTTTTTTTCTTGTCTTAGGCATTTTCCATCATGTGATAGCTTCAACAGACACAATTCTGATTATTTGAAAAGAAAAACTCTGCAAATCTACCCCCAAAAGAACACCAGGCCATAATACAAGCCGTAATACCTAGTACTTCTGCAAATACAGGGGATGGTGATGCACCCCAGAAACAGACTTTTGAGATTTTATTGAAAACTCCTTGCATTTTCATTTCATGAGTCAAAATACAATGTTTGCTTTTAGTTCATTTATATTTTTTATTCTTACTACTTTTTACTTTTGCTAAGTCTGTTTTAAGGTTGGACTTCCATTTCTCAAGGTCTTGAGAGAAAGACAAATTCAGATATTCATGATGGGGTGCTTCTGTATTTTTTTTTTTAATTTTTTGTTAACGTTTATTCATTTTTGAGAGACAGAGAGAGACAGAGCATGAGCAGGGGAGGGGCAGAGAGAGAGGGAGACACAGAATCCGAAGCAGGATCCAGGCTCTGAGCTGTCAGCACAGGGCCCAACGCAGGGCTCGAACTCATGGACTGTGAGATTACGACCTAAGCCAAAGTGGGAAGCTCAACCGACTGAGCCACCCAGGCGCCCCGGGTGCTTCTGTATTCTTTCATGTTGTAGAAGTACACATTTGCACACAACAATTGGTTTTTGTATTGGATTTTTGAAAATAAAAAACTACACGTAATTGAAATCCTTTTCGCAGTCCTTTGTCTCAGAGGTAACTATTGTCTTATAGTTAGTGCGGATTCTTCCTTTGAAAGTCTGAATGTTTCCCCTAGGTGTGCGTGTTTGCGTTATTAACAATGAATAAATGGTGTTTGGGTCTTAAGATTTACATAAATGGCATTATATGGTATAGAGCATTTTGTTACTCACTTTTGCATCAAATGTTTTTATTTGAGATTTTTTCCATGCTGATGTATGTAAATTTATCTCATTCTTTTCTTTTTTTTTTTTTTTTCTTTTTTTTTAATTTTTGGGACAGAGAGAGACAGAGCATGAATGGGGGAGGGGCAGAGAGAGAGGGAGACACAGAATCGGAAACAGGCTCCAGGCTCCGAGCCATCAGCCCAGAGCCCGACGCGGGGCTCGAACTCCCGGACCGCGTATCTCATTCTTTTCAGTTGCTATGTTGCATTTCATCGTAGGTATATGCCTTAATTTCTCTCCCCCTGGATAGATGTTTATTTAGGTCAACATTTTTTTTTGTTCTTTTAACCAATGCTTCATTGAACACCTTCATATTCCCTTAGGTACATGTGGAATGATTTGAAAGTATATACTTAGAATGGGATGCTGGATTGTAAAGCAAATATATTGTTATTCTGTATAACTAAACTATTCTTTGTGAGAACTCTTATTTTCCCATACAAATTCTTATAGTTAGACTTTTTAATTTTAGGCAACCTGATGGTTGTAGTAACTAATCATTATTTCAGTTTGCATTTCCCTGAACACTAATAAGATTGAGCATCTTTTCATAGTTTATTTGTATTTTGGTCTTCTCATCTGTGAATCTCTTTCATTCTTTTTTTTATTAAAAAAATTTTTTTTATGTTTATTTACTTTTGAGAGAGAGAGAGAGAGCAAACATGAGCGGGGGAGGGGCAGAGAGAGAGGGAGACACAGAATCCGAAGCAGGCTCCAGGCTCTGAGCTGTTAGCACAGAGCCCAACGTGGGGCTCGAACCCACAAGCTGTGAGATCGTGACCTGAGCTGAAGTCGGACGCTTAACCGACTCAGCCACCCAGGCACCCCTGTGAATTTCTTTTAAAAATGAGGGGCGCCTGGGCAGCTCAGTCCATTAAGTGTCCGACTCTTGATTTCGGCTCAGGTAGTGATCTCACTGTTTTGTGAGTTCGAGCCCTGCCTTCAGCTCTGTGCTGACAGTGCAGAGCCTGCTTGGGATTCTCTCCCTCCCTCTCTCTCTCTCTCTGCCCCTCCCCCACTTGTATTTTCTCTCTCTGTCTGTCTGTCTCTCTCTCTCTCTCTCTCTGTTCCCCTCTCTCAAAATAAATAAACTTTATAAAAAATAAAAATAAAAATGAAAACAACAAAGGAAGGTAAAACTTGGTGTTCCTTTTATTCATTCAGTGAGAGCGTCTACTCTGTGCTAGGCACTGGGTTCACACTCAAGATCCATTAGGAAATAAAACCAAGCCTCACGAGTCAAACAGAATTAACAAAAAAAAACTTGTAAGAGAATGTTAAAGAGAGACACTGTATTCCAGCTTTAGCCGGAGCCCCAAAGGCCAACAGCAGCAACAAGGGCCAAGTCTTCCCTTGCATTGTAGAGCCAGGTGTTAGACCCTCTGGGCAGGACTTGGCAATAGATGGAAGTCACTGCCAGCTCGGGCATGCACCCGCCTGAGGCCTGTGAAAGGAAGCAGCCGAGGGGCTGCGAGAAGCATGTCTTCGGGGAAAGTTGCTCCTGTTCCTCCACAATGTGTACGATGCTGATGCTCTAGGAACGGCTGGCATTGCTCGGGCAGAATGTGTCACATGGGAAGAGCGAAGAGGCGGAGTACAGAACCTTTTGGAACCAGTACCGACCGGAACGGGCAGAAGTGGGTGAGCCTGCCAAAGAAGGACTGAAGGCTGATCCAGGAAGTGGGAGCAGACCTTTGGTGTTCCAGCTAAAAAGTCATTGCCACACCCAAATTTATCTAGGTTTTTTTTTTTTTTCTCCTGTGGTATCTTCTGGGAGTTTCACAGTTTTGCATTTTATACTGAGGTCTGTGTTCCGTCGTGAGCTAATTTTTGTGAAGGGTGTAAGGTCTGCCTGACCCCTGTTTATCGAGGCCAAATCTCAGGATTGTGGTGAGAAACCCTGAAACAGAAACAAGAGATAGTAACAGGGTATTTAGGATATTGAGAAGTAGAAATGTTTTTGAGGCAGTTTTTTATGTCATCCGTGACTTCACACACACACTTGTTATACAGCTAATGCTCCAGGTTGGTTTGGAAAAGGAGAGGACAGTATTTCTTTTCTGAAAACTCTGTTAACCTTGTCTTGAAATGAGTATAAGCTGTTTCCCGGGGTCAGAAACAGTCGCACACAGATCTCCGTAATCTGGCGCATGTGACCCACACTTTCAGATGGCAGCCTTTGCTGCCAATGTAGATAAGGTTTGTTGCATCTTGGGGGGAATGATGTTTGCTATTTATGTTTCTGTTTTCCCTCTCGATACATCTTTTGACCAAAGTCTGTAATGGTCACTTTTCCATATCACCGGAGGGTGTAAAAGCCTTTAGGAGTGTTCGTGTGAAAGTAGAATGAATTAGTAGGCCAAAGGGTGTGTAGGGCAGCTAGTGAGAGAGACAGTCCTGGGCAAAGGATTGTGCAGATATTATATACATTACTGCCTTTATCCTACTGTTTTCTCGTCCTTGAGTTGTTGGCTGACTCCTCGAACACGATGGAATTAGAGAATACATTCCCCAGTCATGTGAATTGCAGCTTTTCAGAAAGGCGAGCCACAGAACAATTTTATCCTGACCTGATGTCATTAGATTCTAGAGTCTGCTGTCATCACATTCTGTGTTATTGCCATGTTAATTCCACATGGAGCTTAAACATTCAGTCTTCTGACCTGTTCCACCTACGCAGGGCATTTTATGGCTTAAGGATGATGGCTTAGAAAGGAAGGGAGAGATTTACTTTGGATTAAATTCAACATGGGAAAATGCTTAAGGTAAGCCTTTATAAAGAAAAAGAAAACCCACTGTTACATATGTTTCATGTGCTAAAGAACACTGAAGCATTCATAAACCAAGCTTTATCGCTTCCTTTGCTTTCCCATAGTAACTGAATCTCTGGAATATGTGGATATTTATCTACAGTATTCTCTCTAGAGAGGTCCCACTTCACCCATCGTGGTTAATATTTTAAAATGTAGTAGTCAACAGGGCATAAATTTATTCTACTTAACTCCTTTAAACATAGTAGTTCAAGAGTCTCAAACAGATACTATTATTTGAAACAGGAAGACCTACCCTTTTCTTCAGGGGAGACTTTTGTTCTCCAGCCCTCTCGTATATTTCCCCTGATCTTTCTTTCTGCCTGTTTCCCTGAGTCTTTCACCTTATCTTCCCCCAATTTAGTAGATTGGGCATGTATTGTGTTGGTAGAGATAATCTTTTAGACTAGGGCATTCTGTGGGGGTACATCTGGGTGACCATGAATTCAGACGCCATTATTTTCTCATTCCCCATTGTTTCCATATTGATAAAGTGGATATTATTCTTCAGGAGCCTTGGCAGGTTTCCACCTCTGCTCCCTATTTTTTTGCCTCATTTGACACTTTTCTCACTCTAGCCACTGCAAAGACGACCAGAGCTTGCTACCAAATTATCCTGCAGATCAAGTTACTTCAGACCACCGGCACCTTGGATTCTCTTCCATTACTCATCGAACTATATCTCTTGATCCTAAAAGAACCCGTCTATCTGCAGTATGTAAAGTCAGTTCACGCAGAGGAAGTAAAAATTTATCTTCTTCATCAAGTGCATCTACTCACTCATCTTTCTCTGGGAGAAAACATTCTTTATTTGTGAAATTTCAGAAAAGCGGTGTTTTCCCCGACTGTCAACAAAGTGGAGCCAATTTTGATTCTCAAGAAAAAAGCAGCTTCAGTGATGTAAAATTCTCCTCAAACCATTTTGGCCTTAGATCCCAAAGACTTTTCTCTGCCCCGAGACTTAGTATAATTTCCTGTTATGAGAGCACTAGTTTTTTTGATCTTCAATCAAGATGTCATAAAATCTTTAATCCAGATGAAGTTGAAACAGTTTCTGAAAGCTCAAGTATGACTAGTGCTGAAAAATATATAAGCCCTTGTTGTCCCAAATATAACATTAGATGTTCTATGAATTTTGAAGCAAAAGCTAACTCTTCAACCCATCAGAACACTGTTGATGGAAGCATCTACCAACACAGCACGGCCATCTTACTTTCTCTTCCCACTATAATTTCCTATTCCTGTCAACAAAGCAAGGTTGCGACTGATACCGAAGGAAGAGGCCAATCAAGGAAAGTTTCCTTTCATCCTGGTTCTCGAAGTCACTGTATCTTTCATTTTCCACCTAGGATTCAATAGCATCCCTCTCAAAGAGTAACTTCCCCTGTTTCTCTGTAACGTTGGATTTTCTTCACTTTGTAAAAATGCTACCAGCTTTATCCCACCTCAGAATAACATTGCCTCAGATTCCTTGGAAGATGAAAACATTGCTATTTCATCTCAAGATGAAGACACATCTTTATCTATTACAGTTCCTAAAATAAGGTCGCCTCAGAGTTTGCCTTTTCTTCGAAGGGTAGCTCAAAGCAGAAATTTTCCCACCAGGCACGCTCCATAGTCCATGGTATTTGTTGCTCAAGTTCTCACAGAAATCTTCTGTCTTCCTAAGTTTCACTGCATTTTTGGGAAAAAAAAAAGACCTTCATGTTGCATTCTAAATTTAACTGTAACTGCTGTAATTTTTTTGAAAGATAGTTTATTGACATTATTGGAGTTTGGAAGTCAAAGGTTATTAATCTGTTTCTGTTTTTAACAAATTGCTTACAAATTGACTAGTCTCAAATTTCTGGGTGATGATTGTAATATTTCTGTGATCTGAAAATAACATCAAACATTGGTATATAGGTCTTCTAAATATATGACATTCTTTGAGAGTTTTAACATTTTCTTTTATCCTACTCTAATCATGAGGGACAGTATTCCTACCTATGTCATCTCTAGAGCTATATTCAGTAATTCGCAAGTTTTCATTTATATTAGCCTTGTTAGCTGCATTTCTCATGCCAGATATCCCCCTGACAGATGATATTTTTACTAATACAAGGATCAAATTATAAATACACACATATTATAATGGAAATATGTAGAATATTTCAATATTGAAACCAGTTATTTTGACTAAATCATTTTCATATACATTTGTGTGTGCATGTCTGGGACTTCAGAGAACTCGATATCAGAGGTAATAGATTCATAGATTAGTCGTTATTTTTAAAAGTGAATATTTTTCAGACTTCTTCCAAAATTTTTATTAAAACAATTTTTTAAATAAAATTTTTATTTTAAAAAATGTCTCCCGAAATTTGATTTTTGAGTAAATATTTTTCAATTTTTTCACACTATATTAAAGTTTATAAATGTTTATCAGAATAAGTAATGAATGGAAAACGCATATAGGCCATTAAAAATACTTAAGTTAGAATATAGCTAGTCTTTGTAGAGGAAAGGAATTGGCATTATTTTCAATCGTATGTCATGATAAAATGCCCCCTAAACCTATATCATTGGGCTAAGATGTTACTTTTACTTTTGCGTTTTTCTCCTCCTTTTAGCGTGTATCTTTTTTTTTTAATTTTTTTTTAACGTTTTTTTTTTTTTTTTAATTTTTTTTTCAACGTTTATTTATTTTTGGGACAGAGAGAGACAGAGCATGAACGGGGGAGGGGCAGAGAGAGAGGGAGACACAGAATCGGAAGCAGGCTCCAGGCTCTGAGCCATCAGCCCAGAGCCCGATGCGGGGCTCGAACTCACGGACCGCAAGATCGTGACCCGGGCGGAAGTCGGACGCTTAACCGACTGAGCCACCCAGGCGCCCCTTAGCGTGTATCTTAAAAAAGTTTTTTTTCTACTTCAGTTTTTTATTTGTGGTGAAATACACATCACATAAAATTTACTGTCTTAACCATTTTTAAGTTTAGTGGCATTAAATACATTCATATGGTTATGCAACCATTATCACCATTTATCTCCAGAATTTTTTTCATCTTCCTAACTGAAATTCTGGACCCAGTAAACAATCATTTCCCACTCTCCCATCCGGCAACCACCCTTCTACTTTCTGTCTCTGTGAATTTGTTTCCTCTAGAAGTGGAATTATATGGTATTTGTCTCTTTGTAACTGGCTATTTCACTTAGCATAATGTCCTCAGCGTTCCTCCATGTTGCAACATGTGACAGTTTCCTTATTTTTTAAGGTTGAGTAGTATTACTTTGAGTGTATATACCACATTTTACTTATCTCTTGATCTGTTAATGGACACTTTTGTTGTTGCTTCTACCTTTTGGCTGTGATGAATAATGCCGCTATGAGCGTGGGTGTACAAAGATCTCTTCAAGGCTCTGCTTTCAGTTCTTTTGATTATATATCCAGAAATGGAATTACTGGGATTGTATGGTAATTCTGTTTTTAATTTTTTGACGTACTACCGTATTTTTTCCATAGCACAGAGGCACCATTTTATGGTCCTCCAAGAACTCACAAGGATTTCAGTTTCTCACATCTACACCAACACTTGTTCTTTTCTATTTTTTGACAGTAACCATCCTAACAAGGTGGCATCCTGTTGTGGTTTGCGTTTCCCTAATGCATAGTGACATTGAGCATTCTTTCATGTGCCTTTCACGGCCTTTTGTATATCTTCTTTGGAAAAATATTCCTTCAAACCCTTTGCCCATTTTTTAATTGGGTTGTTTGCTTTTTGCTGTTGAGTTGTAGGAGTTCTTTATATATCCTGGATGTTAATCCTTTATCAGATATATGATTTACAAATGCTTTCTCCCATTATGTGGGTTGCCTTTCACTCTGTTGATTATGTCCTTTGATGGACAGAATTTAATTTTAATTTTGATGTCTAATTTATTTTAATTTAGATGTCCAGTTTATCTATGTTGCTTCTGTTGCCTGTGCTTTTGTTGCCATATGCAAGAAATCATTACCAAATACAATGTCGTGAAGTTTTTCCCCTATGTTTTCTTCTAAGAGTTTCATAGTTTGGATTTTACATTTACTAAATGATCCATTTTGAGTTAATTTTTAATTTTTGCATATAGAGGGTCTAATGTCATTCTTTTGCATGTGAATATCCAGCTTTCCCAGCACCATTTGCTGAAGAGACTTCCCTTTCTCCATTGAATAGTCTTGGCACCCCTGTCAAAAATCATTTGACCATATTTGTAAGAGTTTATTTCTGGGTTTTCTGTTCTATTGATGTATATATCTAACTTTATGTCAGTCCACATTATTTTGATTACTGTAGCTTTGTAATAAGTTTTAAAATCAGTAAGTATGATATCTCCACCTTTATTCTTTTTCAAGGTTGTTTTGGCTATTCGCAGTCCCTTGAGATTCCATATGACTTGTAGGATGGATTTTTCAACCTTTACAAAAAACATTGTTGGAATTTTGGGAGGGATTGCACTGAATCTATAAATTGTTTGGGTAGTATTGACATCTTAACAATATTAAGTCTCCAAATCCATGGCATGAGATTTTCAATTGAGTCTTCTTTAACTTTTTTTAGCAGTGTTTTATAGTTTTAAGTGTACAAATCTCTCATCTCCTTTGTTAAGTTCACCCCTAGGTATTTTATTCTTTTTGATGTTATTACATTTTCTTTATTTCCTTTTCATATTGCTTCTTGTTAATGTATAGAAACAACTGGTGTTTGCAAATTGACTTACATTCTGAAACTTGGCTGAGTTTGTTTATTAATTCTTACTCTGTGTGTGTGTGTGTGTGTGTGTGTGTGTGTGTGCGTGTGCGCGCATTTGTGAAATCTTTAGGGTTTTCTACATATAAGATCATGTCATCTGCTAAGAGATGATTTTGTTTCTTCCTTTCTGATGTAGGTATCTTATTTCTTTTTCTTGCCTAATTGATCTGGCTAGGACTCCTAGTACTGTACTGAATAGAAGTGGCAAAAGCAGTCACTCTTGTCTTGCTTCTGTGGTTAGAGGAAAAGCTTTCAGTCTTTCACCATTGAGTATGATGTTAGCTATGGGCGTTTCATAAATAGCCTATAATATGTTGAGGTAGTTTCCTTCTGTTGCTGGTTTGCTACACATTTTTATCATGACTGGGTGTTGAATATTGTCTGGTGCTTTTTTCTGCACCAATTGAAATGCTCACATGTCACCCCCCCCCCGCCCCTTAATTCTGTTAATGTGGTATATCACATTGGTTTTCATATGGTGAACTGTCCTTGCATTCCTACTTGGTCATGGTGTATAACCATTTTAATGTGCTTTCAAATTCTGTTTGCTGTTATTTCTTTGAGGATTTTTGCATCAGTATTCATCAAAGCTGTTGGTCTGATTTTCTTATAGCATATTTGTATGGCTTTGGGATCGTGATAATAATGACCTCCTCATAGAATGAGCTAGGAAATATTCCTCTCTCTTCAACTTTTTGGGGAGTTTGAGGAACTAGTTAATTCTTTAGGAACTAGTTAATGTTTTGGGGAGTTTTAGGAACTAGTTAATGTTTGGTGGAATTCACCAGTGAAGCCATGTGATCCTGGGCTTTCATTTGTTAGGAAGTTTTTGATTACCAATTCAGTCTCCTTATTAGTTATAGATCTGTTTGGATTTTCTGTTTCTTCCTTAGTATAAAGGATTAGTAGGTGGTATGTTTCTAGGGATTTGTCAGTTTCATCTAGGTTATCCAGTTTGTTGGCATGCTATCCTTGATGGTACTCTCTTATAACCCTTTTTATTTCTGTAAAATTGATAGTGATATTCCTCTTTCATTTCTGATTTCAGTGATGTGATTTTCTATCCTTTTTTTCTTAGTTCAGCTAAAGGTTTGTCAATTTTGTTGATCTTTCTGAAGAACCAGTTCTTGGTTCCGTTGATTTTTCTCTTTAAAAGAAATTCTCTATTACGTTAATTTCTGCTCTAATCTTTTTATTTCCTTTCTTTTGCTAACTTGGGGTTTAGTTTACTCTTCTTTTTCTAGTTTCTTGAGCTGTAAATTTAGATTGTTGATTTTATATCTTTCTTTTTAATGAAAGCATTTATAACTATAGATTCCCCCCTTACCACTGCTTTCACTGCATCCTGCACATTTTGGTATGTTGTGTTTTTGCTTTCTTTTGACTCCAGATATTCTCTAATTTCCCTTGTGATTTCTTCTTTGACTCATTTGTTGTTTAAGAGTGTGTTGTTTAATTTCCACTTATTTGTGGATTTTCTAGTTTTCCTTCTGCTGTTGACTTACACTTTCATTTTATTG